TTCCTCGACGTTGCCAGCGCCTTTGACAAGGTCTGGCACGTCGTTCTCCTTTACAAACTCTATTCCATGAACCTTCCTGTATACCTTGTGTACCTCATCTACTCGTACCTAGCAAACAGAACGTTCCAAGAGACGCTTCTGAATGCTAAATCTACCCTCTACGCTCTTCAGCCTTTATGTGCGTGATATTCCCACCCACCCTCAAACGGAGCTCGCCTTCTACGCAGACGATACGGTTGTAATAGTCACGTCGAAAAATATCGAGCTTCTTCAGAAGTGCTTGGATCAACATTTGCTACTGATCCAGGAGTGGCTGAAACTGTGGCGGGTCAAAGTCAATGTAAGAGTGCAGCTGTACTCTTCACACGGAGACTGCGATTCACGCGGCCAAGGCCGCTCGCGCTATGCGGTGACGCGATTAATTGGGCAAAATATGTTAAATATTTAGGTGTCACATTAGACAGCCCCCAGTTTCATTTTTTCTTTAATATCTTGTAAGAGTAGAGTAAAATACACTTATAAAGGTGGCATAGATCGGATTTTCAGGTTTAGCTTTGAATCGACTTTTCCGCAACATTACACAATACTCGGTATGTACGTATGTATTATTATTTTTAGCCTACAACATCACATAAAGAGCCAAGGCCTCTTGCTTTAGTAGGGTGACATTAGGTTGATATTGGTAAAATCATCTTCTTTTTGCTGTTCGTATTTCAGTTGTCTCCAAGTTGTCATTTCTTGGGCTAATCTCGCCCAGGTGGGACCAGTAACCTTACTTAGCTCGTCTGCCCATCTTCTTTTATGTCTCCCTTGGTTCCTCCAGCAATACCGAGGGTCCCAGTTTGTTGAAGTGTACGCCCATCGCTTTTGGTCCTGTCTTATGGCGTGTATTCCCCAACACCATTTACTCACTTTGGATTGCTGTACTGCATCCTTGAGTTTGGTATTTTTCCTAATTGACATATATGGTATTTTGACAAAGAGCAAAATGTTTAACATTTTTGGTTCCATTTTCTTCAGGTATCGTTGTATCCACATCATTTGCGTTTGACCATGTTTGTGAATGACCATATTTGTGATCCATAAATCAATACAGGCAAGATGCACACGCCAATTAATCCCTTTTTGATTTTGAAGTTTATCTTTTTATTTACTAATATGAAGGAGAGGCTCCAAAATTTTCTTCATGCTAATTTATTTCTTCCTCTAATTTCCTTATCGCCTTTATTTGTAAAATATACTAGCTTAATAAAATATACTAGATTTACTAGTATCATATACTTCAGTTTTCGATAAGTTCATTTGTAAACCGACCTCCATGCAACTTGTGTTTATGTTGCAAAGCATATCTTTTAGAGTTTCAGGCGATGTAGCAAAGCGAGCGATGTCGTCTGCAAAACGGAGGTTTGTTAACCGCCGACCATTGACATTTACACCTGCTTGTTTTTACTAATTTTTACGAAAAGACATTTCAAGAATACAAATAAAAAAATTAGGAGAAATTGGGTCCCCCCGTCTTACCCCTCTCTTAATTTGAAATATTTCTCATTCTTAGTCTGTTCTTACTTGTGCTTGCCGTGGGCATATAGTATAATTTTAGAATAAATTCTTGCGTTTTTTCGATGATCTTGTTCCGGTGACTGTTGTTCATTTTGGTCATTCTCCTTGTCAGTATTTTTGAAAAGAGTTTATATGTTCGACATAAGACTAATTGGCCGATAGTGAGAACGTTCCTGTTGCGTTTTTTTGTAAATGAGTATTATGGTACTTGTGAACCAATGTAAGGGGAGTTCTTCCGTTGTTAATATTTGGTTAAAAAGCTTAACAATTTTTTTTGAGTACCTTCTTTAAAAAAGCTTGACTGTAATGCCGTCATCTCCCGGAGTTTTTCCATCTTTCATTTCCGAAATTGCCTGACGCATTTCGCATATGATGTTTGGTGAAATTTTAGTTTCATCTTTTCGGTTGTCATACCGTTTTGTGGGTGTATGAGTTGTGCTTTCATAAAGGCTTCTGTAATATTGAGTAGTAGTTTTTTTTTGTTTTTCCTTGAGGATATCTTCTTATCATCGGTATTTTTTAAAGCTATCCTATATTTTTTAAAGCTATTCAATGTTTCCCTATTGAAGTGTTTTCTTTTAGTATCTTAAGAGATTTGCTATTCAAAACGTTTCCCGTATACGTACTATACGGGAAAGTAAAAATTTTAAAAAGTGTTCATGTTTCTAGTGAAAAACTAATTATGGAGAACGGAATTATGAGTTTTGTGAATTTCAATTGCAAAATGCGCAAAACTAATAACTTAAAAAAATTGTACATGACTTGTTTTAAAGAGCTAATTTTGCACCACAAACTTTGAGCCAAAAATCTCTATCTTTAGTTTTGTAGATTTAAAAGTTTTTTTTATATTTTCAAAAGCTCAAGCAATACCCGAAAATAAGACTAGCACAATATATTTTACCCTCTCTTATTTCATAAGCGAAGAAAATTAATTAAAACATTTGAAAAAAACAATGTTTCAATCGCAAATAACGAAGAAACGCCTCGCTTTTCAAAAAGAAAAAAAAATGTACATGACCTTTTC